TGACAGATTAGGGCCCTTTAGTGATGACAGATTAGGGCCCTTTAATGATGACAGATTAGGGCCCTTTAGTGATGACAGATTAGGGCCCTTTATTGATGACGGATTAGGGCCCTTTGATGCTGACAGATTAGGGCCCTTTAATGATGACAGATTGGGGCCCTTTAATGATGACAGATTAGGGCCCTTTGATGCTGACGGATTAGGGCCCTTTAATGATGACAGATTAGGGCCCTTTAGTGATGACAGATTAGGGCCCTTTAATGATGACAGATTAGGGCCCTTTAGTGATGACAGATTAGGGCCCATTAATGATGACAGATTAGGGCCCTTTAATGATGACAGATTAGGGCCCTTTAATGCTGACAGATTAGGGCCCTTTGATGCTGACAGATTAGGGCCCTTTAATGATGACAGATTAGGGCCCTTTAATGATGACAGATTAGGGCCCTTTAATGATGACAGATTAGGGCCCTTTGATGATGACAGATTAGGGCCCTTTAATGATGACAGATTAGGGCCCTTTAATGATGACAGATTAGGGCCCTTTAATGATGACAGATTAGGGCCCTTTAATGATGACAGATTAGGGCCCTATAATGATGACAGATTAGGGCCCTTTAATAATGACTTGACATGAAAATCTTACATATAGCTACTTTAAGGGCTAAATCTGTCCATGTTTCACTTTAAATGATTATAGTCATGTGTAAATATTGTTTATTGTAAAGTTTCTGTGTAATATCAGTAAAGACATGTGCAAAGTGGAACAGAGAATACTATTGTCTTAGAAATGACTTTTACAGATGATTGAGGCTGAAAAAGGCAGTGTCCCAGAGGCAGCTTTGATTCTAAATGATCCAGTTTGATTCTGTGTAGAAAAGCACACACAGTTTGAGCAACATTAAAGGGTGGTTCTAGTGCGGCTGGTTTTAAGGCTGATATATGAACATGTTGGAATCATCACACACAGGATTCTAATACAGTCAAAGCTGCGCAGGTCACTTCCTCTTCACTGCTGCTGCTGCCCCTGATGCCAATCACCAATCAGTGGCTCAGGATCCTCTCTTCCAATCAGCTGCTGACTTTATGAAGCACAAAGATCAAAGTGTTTCCAAAGCTTCGGATCACGTCCCCTCCACAAACGAAGCTTCAGTTGTGCAGATGTATTTAACTCATTCACTGCCCATGACGACAAAAGTCGTTCTATTGTATAGTGACGCTCACTGCCCAAGACGACTTAGACGACTTTTTCGTGTTATTACACGGGAGGCTGCAGTAATGTCTGGCGCACCTTGTTAATGACCCACAATACTGATATATAGTGCAAATGTACCTGTAATGATAAATCACCACCAGTAGGATGCAGTATTGCACCACAGGAGAGGTCATAAGTCAGTGGAGAGGAGGAGGAGGAGTGTGGGAGTGTTTGGACAGCGTGCTGCTGTAGCAGAGCGATGATAGCGTAGCATTGAGACGGATCAGCGATCTAGTTTAGCGATAGTATAGCAAGAGTGATGGCGAAAAAGAATAGTTATAAGCAGCTGACACTGCTTCAGAGATTGACTAGCGGATCAGTGAGTGAGGTCGAGAGGGGAGAGAGTGGAGACCCCGGTGGAGGTCCGTCTCAGCAGCTACATTTGCGCGGAGCAAGAGCCCCGAGCAGAGACACACCCTCCGCCTCTCGCAGCGTATCAGCTGCTGTTGTTACTGATGCCTCGGATTCGTTCAGCAAACCTGATCATGATTTATCGGACACACTCACAAACACTCACACGCACTCACTCACTCACTCACGCACACAGACACTTACTCGCACACTGACATTCACACACACAGACACTCACGCACACAGACACTCACTCGCACACTGACATTCACACACACACACTCAAATTCACATGCTTCATTCTATTTTATACATCTATAGTTTTATTGGTCTTTGTGTTGTTGTTGTTTGACGTTTTGGTTGATGGTATAGAAGAAAGTTAAATTTTCTATCTGTGAATAAATTGCCAACAATTTGCCATCAAAAGTATTATTTCAGAGTCATGTTTTTATAATTTTTGTAATGGAACAAGTGTGGAGATGTTTTGAGTTGTCACTAAAGCAGCAAAAATGCATCTAAAGTCTCTTTTCTGCTTGATATGTTCCTGTTTACATACAGCTCGTTTCCTCTGTTTTCTTGCTCAGACCAGGTGTTATGGGTGAAAGTATGCTTTGTTCTATGGCAAATAACGCAAGAACGGTAAGAGGTAGAAACAAACTGTTTTTTTCAGAGTAAAGCAGAGAGGTGAATCTTTAATTTGGTGCCCTTGGTGATTACATCGTCTAAAAAAATGAATATTCTGTGGCACTTCAAAGTTGGGTCAAATCACCTGAAATTGCTGGCAGAATGCACTTCTCAAATCTGAAAATGCCTGGCAGTCAGTGAGTTAATGGTGCAGTTCTGGAGACAGCCGACAGATGGCGCCGTGTGACTGTTTCAGTGTGAGCTCTCCTGCTGTGAGCTTTCTCTGTTTATTGTTAGAGCTGTTCATATAAAACACTGTTCTGTGGAAAATCATGACATACATCATAAATGCACTTGTATTAGTGACACTAAGATGCCCACGTGACAACCATGTGTTCACTTCAATTCTCTTTATTTACACAACTTCAACAAGTCCCACACACACTAATGTCTAAGGTTTGGAAGTGCTTTGGAAAAGGGAACTCCCAGGAGGCTGCAGGAGCTTATAGGCGGGGCCTGGTTTATCTTTTCTGCACCGTCTTCTCCTCGTGTTAAAAAGAATCAATAAATCATAAAGAATAAAACAATAGTTACAACAAAACAACAAATAAAAAACACAAACCTCCACAAGAGTAAATAAAGACAAAGTAAATAAACTAAAATAAAAAGTCCTTGTGCAGATGAAGACTATAATGATGTATGACACATGTGTCGTGTGACATCACATGTATCAATCAGAAGAATGTGATGGTGTGATATATTCACTTCTTCACTCGTCGACATCTACTGTCATTATCTGAACACTTCACATTCTTCCAACTGCATCTTTTTCTTTCATTTCCTCTTATTTATGGATTATTTATTTTTAGTCCTTTCCATTGTTTTCCTAAGACGCTCCTTTCTCTCGAGTCGTGTTGTTATTATTAATATTATATAAATGTATTATTATTGTTCATTATAAATGATCCAAAATGCCCCATTTCTCCCTAAACTCGTCTCCTTCATTATTCTTCTTCTTTGTGGATCCATTTCCTGGACTTGTTGAAGTGCTTCCAGTTTGTGGTTTTGGGGATTGGTTTTTTTCCAGTTTGTGGTCATTAGTTTGAGAGCAGTGAGTGCCATGATCCAGAAGAGCTTTTCCTCTCTTCATTCTATGACTTCATGTTCCCAGTAATAATGTTTCTCCTCAAAGAAGTGGATCTTTCCTTCTCCTTGCTTCATGTTTGTGTTGCCTTCAGTCCAATGGTCTTGGATGTTTGTACATGTGTAAAAACATGTGTTCAGCTTTAGACATTTACAGTCACTTTACTGCACTGCTACATGTCTCTGTCCTTAGTGCACGTGGAGATAGTCCTCATTTTAACACATTTATCAACATTCTTTTATGTCTGTACCTTTTTACTCTTACCACGTGTTTGCACCATGAGCCAAAGCAGATTCCTGGTTTGTCACTTCCTGTTACTTACTTACAATAAAATAATAGTGATTGTGATTGTCTTTGTCGCTGCTCTTCCTCCAACATTCTCCAGGTTTTTGTTCTGTGGCTTTGCTCCTGCAGCCAAAGAGTCTGTGTCTGTTCTGTCACTGGTACCTTTGGTTCAGACCAGTTGTGTCCATGGTTCTGTGTCTGTTCTGTCACTGGTACCTTTGGTTCAGACCAGTTGTGTCCATGGTTCTGTGTCTGTTCTGTCACTGGTACCTTTGGTTCAGACCAGTTGTGTCCATGGTTCTGTGTCTGTTCTGTCACTGGTACCTTTGGTTCAGACCATTTGTGTCCATGGTTCTGTGTCTGGTCTGTCACTGGTACCTTTGGTTCAGACCATTTGTGTCCATGGTTCTGTGTCTGGTCTGTCACTGGTACCTTTGGTTCAGTCCAGTTGTGTCCATGGTTCTGTGTCTGTTCTGTCACTGGTACCTTTGGTTCAGTCCAGTTGGGTCCATGGTTCTGTGTCTGTCACTGGTAGCTTTGGTTCAGTCCAGTTGTGTCCATGGTTCTGTGCCTGTTCTGTCTCTGGTACCTTTGGTTGAGACCAGTTGTGTCCATGGTTCTGTGTCTGTTCTGTCACTGGTACCTTTGGTTCAGTCCAGTTGTGTCCATGGTTCTGTGTCTGTTCTGTCACTGGTACCTTTGGTTCAGTCCAGTTGTGTCCATGGTTCTGTGTCTGTTCTGTCACTGGTACCTTTGGTTCAGTCCAGTTGTGTCCATGGTTCTGTGTTTGTTCTGTCACTGGTACCTTTGGTTCAGACCAGTTGTGTCCATGGTTCTGTCTGTTCCGTCACTGGTACCTTTGGTTCAGAGCTCCCTCGGTCGCCGTGGAAACTGCAGACTGCTGTTTAAAGCTGGGGTACCTGACTTTAGAACCACACACATTGAACTTTGTGACAAAATCCATCCAACAAGTTCCATTTATTAATATTTTATTATTTTTTTGATCATCAATGACAATGGTTACACACACACCCCCATGGTCTAGGTCTTGATGGTATCTCATGACATATAATTAGATGATTATATAAGAAGCCGCAGTAAACACACAGTATTATGTACACACAATAAAAGACACTAAATACAGATAATATAGAAACAGATAATATTGTTTTCACATCTGTGTATGATCCGTGTGTGAATGTGCCATACAAGTGTCGTTGATAAATGAGACAGATTCCATCCACAGCTTTTTCATTCTGAGCCCGAACAGAGAGAAATAAAACAACAGGATCAAAGCTGAACAGAAGGAGGCGTTTACACCCAGAGCATCATGGGAAATATTTACACTTCACTCATTTCTCCTGCTCCCTCTCCTCCTCTCTCCTCTCCTGGTCCATCTCCTCCTCTCTCCTCTCCTGGTCCATCTCCTCCTCTCTCCTCTCCTGGTCCGTCTCCTCCTCTCTCCTCTTCTGGTCCGTCTCCTCCTCTCTCCTCTCCTGGTCCGTCTCCTCCTCTCTCCTCTCCTGGTCCATCTCCTCCTCTCTCCTCTCCTGGTCCGTCTCCTCCTCTCTCCTCTTCTGGTCCGTCTCCTCCTCTCTCCTCTTCTGTGATGACCTCATTCATCAGGATCATGGTCTCATGTGTCTCACTAGCGCCTCTTCTGGACTTAACCTGAAACAACAAGACATCCACAGGTCTGAACCAGGTCTGAACCAGGTCTGAAGCAGGTCTGAACCAAGTCTGAGCCAGGTCTGAACCAGGTCTGAACCAGGTCTGAACCAGGTCTGAACCAGGTCTGAACCAGGTCTGAACCAGGTCTGAACCAGGTCTGAACCAGGTCTGAACCAGGTCTAAGCCAGGTCTGAACCAGGTCTGAACCAGGTCTGAACCAGGTCTAAGCCAGGTGTGA